AACTCCCACCCACTGAGGGACCCCAAACTTGACCGGGCCCCTCGGGGCGACCGCTCCCCGTTCCCCGCCCCCGCGCCTCGGGCCTCCCCGGCCGCGCGTCCTCACTCCCTCCCCCAGCCGCGAGCAGGATCCGGGGTGCTGGCTGACTCACCGGCGGCGGCCGCACCTTACAGATCCCAGTCTGCTCGGCTATGGGCCGGATCTTGTGGATGAAAGCGAAGGGGTCCGCGAACTCTTCCCAGCTGGGCTCGAAGACCGGACACTCGGGGGGAGGCAGGAACTCGCCCAGCGGGCCCGGACCCCCGAGGGGTAGCGCCGGACGCGGGCCTGGGGGCAGCACGGTGGCCGGCTCCATCACTGCGACGTCGGCAGGGGCGAGCACGGGGCAGGCTCCGCGACCGCGGTAGCAAGCTCCGCTCCGTCCGAGACCCGTACAGACGCGCAGCTCCGGAGACAAGTCCGACTTCTACTAGCAACGGCAGCACCTAGGGCTTTTTCAGCCTTCCTCCGACGACGTCTTGCCGCTACACCACGCCGTGCGCCTCCGCCGCCACGGCAAGGAAAAAAGTCCCTACTGCCACTCGGAGCCAGGTCCCACCCCGCCCCCTAACCGGGAGGGGCTGGGGCCTTCCGCCTGGGATGGGTTTTAACCTTTATGGTTCGTTGACCACTGAAGTTTTCCGAATTCTTGCTCTCAAGAAGTTAGCGATCTAGTAGAGAGATCAGATCTATAATCGATCATTCAATCACGCCATATACTTTTTGCCACCGAGGATTTACATAGTAAAAACTGGAGGAAAATTCTCTAGGTAGAGAAAACAGCTTGAACACAAGAGCAGCGAGGACATACACAAACAACAGTAATAAGGATTGTAAAAATACTTTGAACATTTGCTTATCCTAGATACTGTGTTAAGTGCTTTGCGCATTTGTTTAGCGTGTGAGGTAGCTTAAGCATGTGCCAAAACCCAACAGATCAAACTATTTATTGGAAAATGGGGGTGTTGCACAGAAATCGTCTATAGCCTACAAGAGCTAGTTCCAGGACAGGCACCAAAGCTACAGAGAAACCTTGTCTCGAAAAAAACAAATAAACCAAAACAAAAAATATCTTGAAATAATCCAGTCAAGGAATAATGGGGCTTAAAAATCTGCAGTGCTATTGATTAAAAAGGAAGGATGCGCCTGGTAGCACACAACTTTAATCCCAGCATTTGGGAGGCAAAGGCGCATCTCTGTGAGTTCAAGACCGCCTGGTCTACGGATAGAGTTCCAGGACAGCCACGACTACACAGAGAAACCCTGTCTGGAAAAACCAAAATGAAAAAAAGGAAATTAAGGGAAAGAAAGAAAGGATAAAACTGCAGGAAATAAAAATTAGACTAGGAAGGAATCACAGGATGCCATACTAAGGGTCTGGCACACCTGCCTCAGTAGATACTGGCCAATTGGCATTGCTGGACAATCATCCAGATCACCCCATGCACAACCATTCTAGAGAAAATGTATTCACACCGAAACAGGTTGAGTTTGAGATGTGACTGGTACGCACAGATAGCAGGGTTCCCACAAGTCGAAAGGTACAACAAGCTCTGGAGGAAAGAGAGTCAGTACTGAGGGATGAGCCCAGTGTTTCAAAGTGAGCCATGGAATTCAAAAGAAGACCCTAAGTAGAACGTGAACACTGAAATGTTTTCTTTAATCCAGAAAGCAGCCAAACTCATGGAAGAAGTATCACAGCCTCCAGCCCTCCCTTTAGAACAACCTGGAGGAAGGATATCTCTCTTAGCCTCAGGGTTTAGTTTTTAGTAAGACTCATGTAGCCCAGGCTGGCCTGAAACTCTATGTAGCAGAGGATGACTTTGATCTCCAGATCTTCCTGGCTCTACAGGTGCTGGGATTACAGATGTAGCCTGTCACACACAGGCTATGCTTCCTCAATTTAAAACAGAAAAGCTAGATGTGATAGCACACACCTTTAATCCCAACACTTGGGAGGCTAAAGCCAACCTGCCCTACACTGAGTTCCAGGCCAGCCAGATCTACATAATGAGAACTTGCATCAAAAAACAAGGAGGCTGGAGGGATGGCTCAGCGGGTTAAGGACATTTTGCTCCTGCCTGAGAGAACATAAATTCAGTTTCCAGATTCAGTGTCTATCAGCTCACAATTGCCTCTCCAACTTCAAGGGGTCTGATGCCTTCTTTTGGCCTCTACAGGCAGCACACACACAATTTAAAGATACTTTTAAAATATAAAAAATAGACGGACAGTAGTGACACACACCTATAATCCTAGCACTTGGGAGGCAGAGGCAGAAGAAACTCTGTGAGTTCACGGCCAGACTGGTCTACAGAGCAAGTTTCAAGACTGCCAAGGCTACACAGAGAAACCTGTCTCGAAAAATATATTTTTATATCAATGAAGAGGGGGAAAGTCTCATTCTTTAATAAACTTCCCAGAGGTCCACAACCTCCAAAACATTCAGTGACTCCTGGAGAAAGAGACCTCTCCATAACTCCCTAGGGCTTCAAAGCCTGACTAGGCCTTTTCCTGCTCCCTCATTCTGTAAATAGGATGGAACCCAAAGAGACAGTTAACCTACTCAGGAAAAAAAAAATATCTTCATTATAAGATAAGGTGATACAGTAGGTTACAAAACTGTGGGAAAACCTAGGTATAAGAATTTGCCTTTTTTTTTTTTTTGAGTCAAGATTTCACTAAGTATCTCTGGTTAGCCTAAAACTCACATAGATCAGACTGACTTGGAGTTTAGAGGTGCTAGAATTAAAGGCATGTGTCACCCCACCCAGTCTGCCATATTTTTTTACCCTTACTGATTTTTTTTTTCTTGATAGTGTATTGAGGAACAAGACAGGATTGCATACTTATAACCAAAGCTGGCCTGGAATTCACAATGTAACCCAGGTTGACCCCATTCCCAAGGACTGGGGTGTTAGATGACATGTTGACTGAGGGAAATCTTTTATTGTCGTTCTTGACCCAGGATATTATATGTGTGCCTGAGTTTGAGATTCCTCCTGGAGTTGATTTCCTGTCAAGTTCTCTGCCTTAGGAGAACGCAGTACCTTTGACGTTGGCATTCTACAAATTAGGTAGGTTGTGAGACTTCTAGACGTACATGAATTGTGGGTATGCAACTGGAGGGCACGAGTTTAGGGGGAAAAAATCTCAGTTGTCATCTATGGGTTACATCTCTCTCCCAACTTTCAAGGTCTGCTAATCCTACTTCCTCCATTTCCGGCAGTGATCCTAAATGATGAGATACTACTGCTCAGTTGCTACAAGCAGCAACTGTTTGGCTCCGCACCGACCCAAACAGACGCCGAGGGAGCGGGCGGCTGCCAAGCTATTAAAGAGAACCCTAGGGACTGAGAAGGATCTCCACTAAGGTACCAGCTCCCCCGCCCCACCGAAGACGCTTCCCCTTGCCCTTTATGATGTGTGTTTACATGGGCGGAGGGATCCCTCTCCAGCTGACAGCCACACCGCGGCCGGCTCTTCTTTTTTTAAAGAGCCTAGCCACAGGCGATGATTGGCCGCGGCCCGAGCCGCACCAGCCTCCGGGGGCGGGGCCCGCTCCGCATTGTCTAGTGTGAGGCCGGCTGGACGTCTCAGAGGCCGGCCGTGGCTAACCCCGGCCTGGAGGTGCCGGCTTTCCTCTTCCCAGACGGCTGGGAGCGAGGGCTGGGCGGAGCCGCAGCGCCAGGTTCCCGGGGGGGAAAGCGGGGCTTGCAGTCCCGGCGGCCCGAGGAGAACCGAGCCCGCTCCGAGTGCCACGTCTCCAAGAACCCCCCCTCCTTACTCTTGGACAACACTCCGCCTCCGCCCCGGACTCCGTCCCCCAAAGCACCCCATGAGTGCTGGAGAGCCTTTAGATACATCTGTAGGGATCGATGTCTTCATCCGGCCCACTCAGACGTCAGCTCTCACGCTCCTCCAGCGGGTTGAGTCCCACCCCCGGCCTGCACCCCAAGAGTTCAGCCTGTGCCCTAAATTCGCTTGCTGGTCTAAGGGGCGCTGGCCTTGCTCCTTCCGGCCGCCGGGCAGGAGAGACCAGGCTTCTGGGTTCCAAACGCGAGAAGAGACTTTCCTCTCGCTCTCCGTCGCCCCCACCCCCACCCCTTGCTCGGGGTCTGAGCCACGGATGAGGGGGGCAGGCCTGGCTCCCCAGCTGCCCGGGAGGGGGCGGCAGCCGGCGCAGCACGTAGCGCACGTGTCGGTCCCGCACCCCACCCCCTCCGCGCGGCTGTCCCCTCGACGGGGCTCCGGTGTTGTCCGTGCACCTCCCTTCGACCCCGGCCTCGGTTCGGTCTACCACCACCCCGCCCCCCTCTCCCGTTTTCCCAAATTTCCGCCATGTGCACCATCTCAGTTTCTCATCTCCGGTTCAGTGCCAACATCTGAACTCAGCACCTCCTTTCGTGCTCTGAAAAATTTGGTTTCAGGTGTCCCCTGAGGCAACCATGGAATGTCCCTCTGCGTTAACTTGTTTTGTCTTTCCACAACGTCTTGTTGCTACTCTTTATCGCTGGTTTCTAGCTTGACATCAGTTTCCCACAGTAGTCCCGGCCGCCTCCTCAGCACGTTGCCCCACCCCTTGGTAAGTCGCTAGAGGGAAGGGGAAAAGTCAGTACCAGGCACGTGGGAGTTGCTCCACAAATATTTGTTAAAAGGGGGGGGGGGTGGCCTTGAGTTTATGCGGCTCCAATTGGCTGAGGAGGAAGCTTTGGGCTGGACGCGGAGAAGAATCTGCTTGTGCACAGGAAGGAGTCGCGGTGGTGGAGTCTTGAGACAGCCCACGCAGTGGGCGAATAAAATGAGATTAAAGCATCCTCCCCCTCCCCTGGCCTGCTTAATTCCACTGTGCTCGGTGTCCCTCCTCCTCAGATGCAAGGCCTTCTCTGTGGGATAACTGTAATCTTTGGGTCCCCACCCCCAGCTGACACCATGATAAAGGCTCTCATTATGGGCTGGGTACTTAGAAAGTTGGTCTGGTCTTGGGGAGGCATCTTTTAACTAGATACCATTGCTTCGTCTTGCACATTTCTCATCGCGCGCGCGCGCGCATACACACACACACACACACCACGGGAGGGGAAGATCTCTCCTAGACAAGCACTACACCAGAACAACTATCCCAAACCCTCACCACCCTTGGAATCTGCTGAATCAGCTCGACTGGGATCCAAAAGCTTACACCTTCGGTTTACCTGGGTGTAAGCCCAAAGAACTAGACCCTTGTGCGGATCTCAAGTGGAATGTTCCCACGATAGTGCTAGCCCTACCCACAGGGGCTGGGAGGGGCAGAGTAACCCACACCAAGGCTTGGGCTTCAGGGCGTTTCTTCCCATTCCGGTTAGGCCACTTTAGAGAGGCCTGAGACTCTCAGGAACGATAAATTTTTTTAAGATTTATTTATTCATTATACATACAGTGGTCTGCCTGCATTTATGCTTGTACTCCGGAAGAGGGTTCCAGATCTTATTGCAGATGGTTGTGAGCCACCATGTGGGTGCTGGGAATTGAACTCAGGACCTCTGGAAGAGCAGCCAGTGCTCTTTATCACTGAGTCATCTCTCCAGCCCATATTTAATAATTTTATATTTTGTTTTTGAGACAGGTCTTGCTACGCATACTCAGAATGGCCTCAAATTCACAATATAACCCAGACTGACCTCAAACTCAGCCTCCCTTAGTTCTGGGGCCAAGGAACACTCTTATGCCCCTGGAGGACGAGAGAAAGCCATAGTCCCTGTTGGTCCACCAGCACTCCAACTCAGGTCTCTGAGCTGAGGACTCCACTAGCTCGTCCTGTTCCTCAGATAGCACAGATGTTTGGAATTCTCTATCTGGGATATAACTTGATGGAACTTTCCAGAGCACCACTACATCTACCGTATCCAACTAAATCAATCACACTATATGTTGAGCAAGCACAACTTCCTAAGTACAAAAGGAGGCTTTTCCTCACCTTTCTTCCCTGGCATGAACAACTGATGCATAAACAAAACAAAACAAAACAAAAATCGGGGTCACTAGCCAGGAGTCGTTCATAGCCTACTAGACACACCAGCCCTGTGAAGGAGGTGCTATTGCTGCCATATTTCCCAGAGGACCTG